TTCTTACAATATTTTGGTGAAGAATGTATACAGTATGCTTGAAAATGTGCTTAGATGGTGAAGAAAATGGGTATAGTCAGTCACAGAAAAAAGACAATAGCAATGTAAGGACGGGGAATGCCATAACACAAGGCATGTGAATCCTATTTAGTGCTTTATTAATTTAAAATTTTTAAAATGCTAATGAGCAAAAAAAACCCACTACTGCTGAGAGACACTGGATTGGAGAAAAAACTGCTAAATTAAATCAGCCTTCATATTTTAAGGATGTTTTAACTTCAGAATGGGAGTCAGGAAATGTATTTGGTTGGGGGAAAAGTTATGACTTTGTTTCTATAAGAAACAAAAAGCTATGGATTCCTTCAAAATTAATAAAGATCATATTTAACTAGGGAGATAGCCTGAAAATCTTGCAGACATGAAGAAAAAAACAAGAAAGACTACAGGATAGGTAACATATATGCTGATTCCTCTATATGGGAACTCTGTAAGGCTGGATAAGACATGATAAATTTTGTTGGCTACAGAGTCCTCATGACTCATTGCTACATGCCATCCTTTCATACGGCATGGACGGAGATTTATATTAGTTTCGTTATACACTCCAAATGAACTTATAATGTCGACAGATGACTTTTACCTGCTCAAACATAGAGACCATCTTTAGTTGATTTGTGGACACTGCACACTCCATACTTGTGTTAATGTAGGTATGTATATCAGATACCAATATAGACAAGTAGCCCAGATGATTCAGCCTCTCAGAGTGCCTTTGTTGCAGTTTCCTCAAAAATCTGCATCCAGAACAATTTCAAAACTTCTAAGTGAGATGGCCCAGCCTCATAGACTACTCCAGTCATGACTTCAGTTAAGCACTACACGTTACCATCACACAGAGACTGGACAACCAATGATACAGCTACCTCTCCCAGGAATTGGCCATTATCCCAATTTACTCAGGATTCCCTAAAGATGCTGTTGCTGTCCCCTCCCCCTACAATAGGAAGTAATCTTAAGAACATGATGCCCATATTCACAAGAGGTGGGGTGGGTAGGTTTTGGTTGTTTAGTGAGCTATGGATTTTTGTTGTTGTTTAAGGGGGATGGTTACAAGTTGTTATTGGTAATGGTCAAGGAAAAATACTTGACAAAGAAGGTTGGATTAAGGGATTTTTCCCTTTCTTTTTCTTTCCTTGATCCTTTCTTTCTCTCCTATCTAATGGGGAAAAAGGGAGGTATAGGAATGATAGGATAAAAGGGTAGAATATTGACTATACTAAAAAGCAACTAGTAGTTTAATATTTTACATTGGTATAGATTTTTGTATATTGATAGAAACTATTGATAGGTTATTTTGTTAGAACATACTGTATATATGTTTCTATTCTTTTTAAAAATATTTTTTATGGTTTATTTAACTTTATTTTATGTGCATTGGTGTGAAGTGTCAGATCTCCTGCAACTTGATCATCAGACAGTTGTGAGCTTCCATGTGGGTGCTGGGAATTGAACCTGAGTCCTCTGGAAGAGCAGTCAGTACTCTTAACCACTGAGCCATCTCTCCAGCCCTCTATGTTTCTATTCTTGTTTAAGGTATTGTACCTATGCAGCTCATTTAAAAATGGAATGTGAAGTTCTAGTCCTTGAAAGCTATTATTACAAATTGTTTAGGATAATTAAAAAATGCAGATTAGTATTTAGTCATCTATAAGAATCAAATTTGTAGTCATATTAAGTATGTTTTCAAGGTTAAACAGATCTATTTTACATAGATACATGGTCTTCAAACACTTCAGAGATTTATACAACATAATATTTAAAATGTTTTAATAATATAAGGCTTCTCATGATAGTGAGTTATGTCTGCTTCTGGTTGCACCAATGAATTCAGAGAACATGATGAGAATTGAAGAATCTCTATATGAAGCTTACTTTCAATGTGGCAAAGCTAGCCTCTGGGCAAAAAAACTGCCCTTGCCTCAAATGCTGACAGTATGCTGTCCAAAGTGGACAAGCAGAATATAAAAAAAGACGATTGCCAAACTTCGCCAAGACAAGGTAGAAAACTCCTTCAGAATTTCTGCTTCACAGAAAAGTCTGTCAGATATTCTAGGCCTGTAGGCAGAAGATGTATGGTCCAATGTTTCAGAGGAACCTTGGGCGAATGTACAGGTAGTCAGTTTTCTCTGTCATTTTTATAGTTTTAGAAGCTGCTTGCTCTTGTACTTTCTGAGTCTCAGGTCTCTGATGGGGTTGAAAACTAGATATTTACAGTTTTACCATTTTTCATTTTCTTATTTTTATTTTTTCTTTGTGTTTCATATCACACATCTCCATCCCATTCATTGCCCCATCCCTTCATATCTACCTTCTGTCCTTGCTACCTCACCCCAAAATAAAATTTAAGAGAAAAAGAGAGAGAAGGAAAAGAAATCACTCTTGTCATGGAAGCTGTAGTGTGACACAGTGAGTCATGCAATAAACCCTTTTATCATATATCTTTACTTGCAGGTGTTCATTGCAAAGAGTTTGTTGATCTGGATCGAGGCTTCAGTGTCTGTCACACTATTGATGCTGGGCCCTTGCTGGAATTCCTCTTGGTTATCCTGTTGTTGCCTTGTGCTGTGGAAATCCTGCAGCTCTAGGTATGAAGGACTGGTCTCTTTATGTGGCCCACCAGATGGAGAAGATGTTAGGGTGGGCCAACACATAACCCTGGTTCTGGGCTTGGGTAGTTGCCCACCAGCTCTCCCTTGTTCTCACCACCAGGGTGAGCTCTCCTGTACTGCCTGGTGCATTCACCCCTTACAGTGATGAGCAAAAGGGAGGGCCAGTTTGCCCATTTTCATGTTCTCAGGGTTGGATTTCCCACAACTACACCTTCAGGTTCAACTTTAATGTGCTGCCCAGGTGTGGTATAGGGGCCACTCTCCTGAGTGCTGCAGCTGATGAGGTGATGTGGGATTACCTTCTGTACACACACACACACACACGCACACACATGGAGAAATAAGGCAGAGTCAGAGAGATCCCATGTAGTTGCTGAAGGAGAACAACGACAGAACTTTAATCAGTTGGTAAGCCACAGCATTGTGGCGATATACAGATCAATAAAAATGGGTCAATTTAAGATATAAGAGCTAACTAATAATATGCCTGAGCTGTTGGCTAAACAGTGTTGTAAAAATATAGTTATTTGGGTCCGGGCAACAGGGAAGCAAAAGCATAGTTTTTGTCAACAATGAGGGACAGGGCTACCTCTCCTGCTCTTATGGCCCCGGGGCCAGCTCTCCTACCTGCCTTAGGCATTAATGGGGAAAGGCATTTCTCCTCCATCCATGCCACCAAATCACAGATGGGTAATAAGGACAACTCTCCCTTGCTCACACCTCCACCAATAGGATTGTCACTACTGTACTGCCCATGCAAGGTGCAGGATCTGCTCTCCCAAGGGTTGCAGCTATTTTACCATTTTCTTTGCTACCAAATTAAAAAAAGTCACAAAAGAGATGTAAAGCTTATAAAGGTTATTTATCTAAGATGTTTTAAGGTCTAAAAGGATATTTTTAGATTGATAATACAAGTTTTAATAGAAAGTAGTTTGTTTAGGCATAAAACTTTGGACTCATCAAAACAGGATAGATAATACAGTACTTTCTCCGAATTTGCCAAATACAGATGGACTAGACATTGTGAATGCAATTCTTACCTGATAATTGTTCTTACTGTATATAGTTTTTGTGTTAGAATTAAAATCTTTCCTTTTTATTTAGACAAAAAGGGAAAAACAATGTGGGATAATCTTTTTTCTGCATTGTAAAGAGTATCTCTGCCAAGGCACCTTCTGATTGGTTTAGTAAAGAGCTGAATGCCAATAGCTAAATAGGAGAGGATAAGCAGGACTTCCAGAGGGAGAGAAAGGAACTTGGGAGAAAAAAATCTGAGAGGGGATTCACCAACCAGACATAGAAAAAGTGGGACATACTATACTGAGGAGAAGTAACAAACCACATGGCAGAGCATAGATTAATATAAACAAGTTAAGTTTTAAGAGCTTGTTGGGAACAAGCCTAAGCTAAGGCCAAGCTTTCACAATTTCTAAAAAGTCTCTGTGCCATTGTTTTGGAACTGGTGGTACAAAAGAAAGTCCAACTATACCTGCCAAAGAATGCTGCTAATGGAGTCTAATTAGCCCAAGAGAAAGAAGTGTGTTACGGTCCACAAAGTTAAAAGAAATTGTAGATCTGAAGAAGGCTTTGACATCAGACATGGAAATGCAAAAGTTGGAATTTGCCCAGCTGATTTTTGGTCCCACTTTGGTTCAATGTTTCCTCACTATGTTCCCTTCCCTCCCTTTTGGAATAGTAAGGTATATCCTGTGTCACTGTATAATGAAAGTATGTTTTTCATTTTTATTTTACAGGGGATTACAGTTAAGAGATCACCTCAGAAGAGACTTTGAATTTCGGATTTTAAATATTGTTGAGACTGATAGACTATTGAGACTTCTGAAGTTATACTAAATGCCTTTTGCATTATTATATGGATACAAACCTATGGGGGTCAGGGAATAGAAAGTAGTGGTTTGAATAAAACTGGCCCCCATAGGTCCATAATAATAGCACTATTTTAGGAGGTGAGACCTTGTTGGAATTGGTGTTGCCTTGTTGGAAGTATATCACTATGGTGATTCTATTTAAAGTCTCATATGCTCAAGCTAGGCCTCGTGCAGCATTCACTTCTGCTGCTTGATGATCAAGATGCAGAACTCTTAGCTCCTTCTCCAGTACCAAGTCCATGCTTCCCGCCAAGAAGATAATGGACTTAACCTCTGAAACTGTAAGATAGTCCCAATTAAATGTTTTCCTGTGGAAGAACTGCAGTGGTTATAGTGTCTCTTTATAGCAATAGAAATCCTAAGTCATTTACATATATTGGTATCCAGACTAGAAAAGATTTTTACTGTATTAGTTTAATTTAAGTAAAAACTGTGTTCTCACCTGACCAAGTTCTTCATTAAGGTCTGATGTGTTAACCAAGGCTCCTTCATTAATTTCTTCATCAAAAAAGTCTTTATCCCATGAAATAAAAAATGAGCCTAAAAATTTCTGCATTTCTACTGTGACATACATGGAGACAGGAATAATAAAGTTGAAGAGAACCATGAATGATAAAAAGTCGGTGAACATTTTCAAAACCTAAAATAAGAGATAGTGCATATTAATTCGATTCATGGCCTCTTCAGATGAATACAATACAAATTTGTTTTCTTTCTATTCCAATTCTTAGCACACTATTAACATAAAAAATTTCTTAATGACACTATATCATTATAATCAAAATTATTAGTATTAAGAACATTTTAAACTGGGTGGTGGTGGAACACAACTTTAATCTCAGCACTCAGAAGGCAGAGGTGGACAGATCTCTGTGAGTTTGAAGACAGCCTGGTTCACAAAGCAAGTTCTAGGACAGCCAGGACTGTTATACAGAGAAACCATGTCTAAAAAAAGCAAACAACAACAACAAAGAACATTTTAGAACACTCTGAATTTTATCTACATTTTCGATGTATATACTTTCCAATTTAATACTTATTCACCTCCTTAAGTCCTATGTTCCTCCCATCCATAAATAAGAATACTCAAAGTTTATATGTAGATATTGCACAAGTTCGTATTGAATTAAGATGCTAGAAAGCTCATTATTTTTTCCAGTCTCTTAAAAAGTTAGAAATAAACATAGACATATATAAAGGAACAAAATTAAATCTAAATCAAAAGGTAACATTTTTCTGAGCAGTATTTCAGTAAAGGATAGCCTAGTCCCTCATAGCAAGTTAATTACCTTAAAAGTTTCCCGTTCTTTTTGAGTCTTTTGATTATACCAAGGTTCATCATTGTAGGGAGTACTTTGCCACACATACTTTAGAGTTGTGCATACTGCAGCTTTGGTCAGTAAGATGAATAAATAAACAATCAAGAAGGCATTAATAGATCTGAAAAGTAAGATATTATGTCTCATTACTTAAGACATAAGCAAAATAAAAATTTAAATTATTTTATTTTGATTTAGTTTAGTATTAACTAAAGATTCTCCTGTGTATATTATAATAATCATATCCCAAATTTTACATAAGAATCTTAATTATCACAGCCAAAGAATAATTGTTAAATGGCAAAATGGAAAATCTAGCCCTGAACTGTTTATTGATCACTAATGTTCCCCATGGAACAATGTCTGGCTTTTCAAGCACACATTTTAAAATAAGTGGAAACATACATATCCCTATGTATTAATATCTACTTAACTTCTATGGAAAGTGTAGTTGGTATCTTCTCCCCAAAAGACTAAATATTTCAATCTAAAGGTAGAATAGTAAATGTGAACCTTAAGCTCAGCATACATTCTCTTAGCATTATTTCAAAATAAAGTCTGGATAAGGCACAATGAGTCATATACATGCCTATAAAGAAAGACGTGTGTCTGTCCTGGTAGTACCTAAAATCCCAGTAGTTGGGAGGAGGAAGCAAGCGGATTACAAAATCAAGATCATCCTCAGCTTATGTAGCTAATTTAAAACCATCTTGGGCTGCATGAGACTGTAATACACACACACATAAATAACCACATAAAATTTAAATTAAACTTAAAAAAGCCCTGGTAGTGGTACCTGTCTTAATGATCTACCAGATACTACTCCAATGTCTACTAGAACAATATTTTAGAATCAACTTGCACATACCAACAAAAAGACCCCAAATTCAGTAACAAAAGGAAATGAATTTACAGTTAAGATAAATGGTGCCATTTAAACCTATGCAAGCTTAGTTAATTCATTTACTATCTTAGAGACTGTTTCTTCACATGTATTGTTGAAAGAGTCTGACGTAAATTATTTCATAGGATTATTTAGAGGACTGAATCAAATGAAGACATAAATCAGTGAGGACTGTTTCAGGAACAAAAACAAGTGCTTAAAATGGTAGCTGCTATTATTGTGGATGATGACTTTCTGTATTGTTATTTGGAGTTACTGAAGAAATAACTATTTCAATCAAGAATGCCTAAACAAAATTTGTGGTACATACTAACTTTTCAACAGCAGAACGTTTCTGAGATTTCCCTTGGTAGTTCAAAGCCATTTTGGTTTCCATCCCAGTGTAAACAGCAACTCCTAAAGAATAACAGAATATAAAATAACCTGATTGTTTGGTTCTGTTAATTCTTCACAGTTTATAAGGGTAAGAATTCAAAGTATTTCATACTCATTGGCTGATCACTTATATTAAAATTTAAATTATATAAAGTATCATACTCATTAATTTATCTTGTAAATTATCAACACATAAATATACACTGAGAATAAAAGGCAGGTATCTGCCATGTTGACTTTTAAACATGCACTATTCACAAGCTTTATGAAACACATTTTAACAACATATTTTCAAAGTTGTTCACCATATATCTTCTTGGTATTTTTAAGTGTAGCTCCTTTCAGCAAAAGATTTTCAGGTCCCAAAGATCTAAGTGAAAAACAAGCACAGTTTATTGAAACAATGTACAATGTCATCATTACTGGGGACAGATGCCCTGACACACATCTATTCTCCAAGGGGTTTAGAATGTATCTATATCTACCATAAGCTTACTCCCTAGGATGAACAGAATGATCCCTCCATCTGAAGTGACTTGAAGGTAGAGCCAGATGAGAGCATAGTACAGTGGTAGCCAGTAACATACAGAGGTAAAGAAAGATCAAAAGATTATGACTTATAGTGAGCAAGACAAGAGCTATAAGAAGTAAGAAAAAGAGGGTCACAGATAAAAGACTGGGAAGGCAAATGCCAAGCTGCAAAAACACAATGGCATCTTTGTAGAGAATGAACCTGACTTCTGGGAGATCAAGGCAAAGTGGAAAAGGTGAGACAATTAACTATGTAATAAGAGAGGAAAGAAAGCATCCTGTTTGTTTGAATGCCTCATAAATAATTAACTTTACATTTTATTTAGGTTCAAGTAATTCTAGCATTTTCCTCACTGCCTAGACCTTCAATTACTCTCCCATAAACTACTATTTTCCAGCTTTATGTTCAAGCTTGTCAGCCACCATACAACCAATGAAAATATATGTGATTATCTAGAACAGGTTTGGAAAAGCAGTCAACAGGTACAGAGCGCTGCTATTTTATTTATTTTATTTTTTCTTTTATTTCTTTTTTCTTTTTCAAGACAGGATTTCTCTGTGTATCTCTGGCTGTCCTGGAACTCTCTCTGCAGACCAGGCTGGCCTTGAACTCACAGGGATCTGCCTACCTCTGTCTCCCTGAGTGCTGGCATTAAAGGTGTGTGCCATCACCGCCCAGCTTCTTTTTTTTTTTAGCTCAAACTTTTCTGTATATAATTATTATGCTTGTGTTGGTGCACATACACAGAGTATGTATGTGTGGTCAGAGGATACCTTTATGGAGTCATTTCTCTCCTTCCATGTTTAAAGTAGTTTCTGGGGATTGGTCTCAGGTAGCTAGGTTTTCGTGGCAAGTGTCTCTACTGGTTGAACATTTGGCTGTTCCCATGGAGCTCTGTTCTTTTAGAAAGTCTATATATTATTTCAATAATAATCTTCTACCCAACACAAAGAGACCTGATCGCCATAGCCCAACTAATCACAAGGTTACTTAGCTCTCTTCCTTTCACTTTATTTAAGGAAAGGCATTTGGCTATTTTATTGGGTTTAAAAGAAAAATATTCCTCCTCCCAAAAGGATAGTTTTTAAAAGGAATAACCAACTAACCTGGCAACAGCCTCAATACTATTACTATAGATACTGATTCGCCCAACAAACCTGTTAAAAACAAAAACAAAACACAAAAGCAAGTGTGAAAATCTAAATACCAGCAATTAGAAATTCATCAGATTATAAAAAAATATAAGACTGAATGAATTTAAAATTCTATTAAGCACCTGGAAAAAAGTTACATTGAACTTATAAACTACATAACATTTAAATCGAATCTTTAAAATAATAAGTATAAACAAATATTTTAAATTAATGGAATTCTACTTGGTATTATACATATACACAACACATCAAATGATACCTTTCTATAAACACTGTGGCTTTTATTTTAGATTCATGTGATTAGTAATGGTTTCTGATACTATATACAATTTTTGAAATGATTAGTTCAATGGTTTTTATACATGAGCTGCTTATGAATCACAGGGGGTAGAAAGAATCTTACTTAAACCTCAGAATTCTGGGTCCCATCCTTAAACTTCTTTGTCATACTCTCAGGTGACACTGGTATTAGTCACAGGTCCAATTTTTGACAACTACACACAAGGAATACTTGATTATGTAAACTTGAAAATGTTTGTATTTGGCAATTGACCTGATCCAAGCACTTAACCTATAATTCTGCAAAATAAGGATAAAACAGCCTAACCCCTCCTTAGTGAGACTTTTATACTTTGTAATTTGCAGTATGGTGTTTTCTTCATAGAAAAGTAATATACAGTTCAAATAATTTTAAAACATCTTGATTTTCAAATATTTTATTCATTCTTTGAGAATTCCATACAATGTATTTTATTTTGATAATATTCAGCCCTGTAACTTCTTACAGATTCATATCCACATCCCTACCAATCGAAATTTATGCTGTATTTTAAAAACATGTTTATTTTTCATTATATGAACATGTGTATCTCTGTGTTTGTTCGGCTGCCCAAAGAAGTCAGAGGTATCAGATCCCACCGGAGCTATAGGTAGTTATGACAAGTCTAATGTGTGTGTTATGCGTTCTGTTAATCACTGAGTAATCTCTGTAGTGCCTCAATTTAAATGCTTTTATATACAAAACAGGAAGATCTATCCATTCATTCTATGTTAGTTGTGAAAGTACTGTACTAGAAAAATGCTGAAACATAAAAAACTAAAAGGGCAGATTCTTTGCCCTAAGAAAGATAACTGAATTTGATAAATATAGTACGCATGATTTCTATCAGAGTGGTAGAAATACTTGGTATTCTAAAGTCATATTGAAAGGATTCAGCTTAGGTAAATTAGAATAACCTTGTCTATCCTAAATTATCCTTCATATTTAAGGCAACTTTACAATCTGGGAATTTCCCTTATAAATATGAATATGTATATGTGTGTGAAACATATACATATATTATCAGGTAGAATAGGTCCCTCCCTTTTCTGGAACTTCATGGACTTTGTATACATCTTTATTACTGTACTATAAGCTTAACTTTATTGATCGATATCCTTTATTCATTAGTTACTTGAAGGTGGAGAAAGCTTTTTTTTTTGTTTTTGCTTGTGGCTCTAGTTCTTAATATCAAAACATACAAAAGAGAAAGAGGAAACAAGGAATAAACTGTGGGGGAGGGGATCAACATTCTCATAGTAGGATATATTTCTTTACTATTACTAACCCTAAATAGAGTAAACCAAATCCATTCATTTGGTCCTCTACTTGACCAACAACACGAATTAACATTATGGCTTGCCCATATAGTGGATGTTATCTACAACGGTGGTATAGAATGGAATGAATTAAAAAGTATGAACATAGTTGAACAAATGCCCTTGTCATATGATCGGGCATCTCTTGGGAATATCTCAAGAGTGGTATTGCTGGGTCCAGGGGTAGGTTGATCCTGAATTTCCTGAGAAACCGAAACACTGCTTTCCAAAGTGGTTGCACAAGTTTGCATTCCCACCAGTAATGGATGAGGATACCCCTTCCTCCACAGCCTCTCCAGCAGAGGCTATCATTGGTGTTTTTGATTTTAGCCATTCTGACAGGTGTAAGATGATATCTCAAAGTTGTTTTGATTTGCATTTCCATGATCGCTAAGGAGGTTGAGCATGACCTTAAGTGTCTTTTGGCCATGTGAACTTCTTCTGTTGAGAATTCTCTGTTCAGATCAGTGCCCCATTTTTTAATTGGGTTAATTAGCATTTTAAAGTCTAGTTTCTTGAGTTCTCTATATATTTTGGAGATCAGACCTTTGTCTGTTGCGGGGTTGGTGAAGATCTTCTCCCAGTCAGTGGGTTGCCTTTTTGTCTTAGTGACAGTGTCCTGTGCTTTACAGAAGCTTCTCAGTTTCAGTAGGTCCCATTTATTCAATGTTGCCCTTAATGTCTATGCTGCTAGGGTTATACCTAGGAAGCGATCGCCTGTGCCCATCTGTTGTAGGGTACCTCCCAATTTCTCTTCTATCAGGTTCAGTGTGTTCGGACTGATATTGAGGTCTTTGATCCATTTGGACTTGAGTTTTGTGCATGGTGATAGATGTGGGTCTATTTTCATTCTTTTACAGGTTGACATCCAGTTGTGCCAGCACCATTTGTTGAAGATGCTTTCTTTCTTCCATTGTATACTTTTAGCTCCTTTATCGAAAATGAGGTGTTCATAGGTTTGTGGGTTAAAGTCTGGGTCTTCTATACGATTCCATTGGTCGACTTTCGTTCATAGCAGCATTATTTGTAATAGCCAGAACCTGGAAACAACCTAGATGTCCTTCAATGGAATAATGGATGAAGAAAGTGTGGAATATATACACATTAGAGTACTACTCAGCGGTAAAAAACAATGACTTCTCAAATTTTGCATGCAAATGGATGGAAATAGAAAATAGTATCCTGAGTGAGGTAACCCAGACCCAAAAAGATGAACAAGGGATATACTCACTCATAATTGGGTTCTAGCCATTAATAAAGAACCTTCATCTGGCGATGGATGGAGATAGAGACAGAGACCCACACTGGAGCACTGGACTGAGCTCCCAAAGTCCCAATGAGGAACAGAAGGAGGGAGAACATGAGTAAGGAAGTCATCACCACAAGGGGTGCACCCACCCACGGAGACAGTGGGGCTGATGATCTATTGGAGCTCAGCAAGGCTAGCTGGACTGTGACTGAAAAAGCATGGGATAAAACCGGACTCTCTGAATATGGCGGACAATGAGGGCTGCTGAGAAACCAAGGACAATGGCACTGGTTTTTTTTTTTTTTTTTTTTTTTTTTTTTGGTTTTTCGAGACAGTGTTTCTCTGTGGTTTTGGAGCCTGTCCTGGAACTAGCTCTTGTAGACCATGCTGGTCTCGAACTCACAGAGATCCGCCTGCCTCTGCCTCCTGAGTGCTGGGATTAAAGGCATGCGCCACCACCGCCCGGCGGCACTGGGTTTTTTTTTTTCTTGTTTTTTTTTATTGCGAAAAGAAGAAAAAAAAACATAAACAAAAAACAAGTTTCCACCTCCTCCCAGCCTCCCATTTCCCTTCCCCTCCTCCCACCCTTCTCCCCCTCCTCCCACCCTTCTCCCCCTCCCCCCACTCCTCTCCCCCTCCCTCTCCAGTCCACAGAGCAGTCCGGGTTCCCTGCCCTGTGTTAAGTCCTAGGTTCTCCCCCCTCCGTCCATATCTAGGAAGGTGAACATCCAAACTGGCTAGGCTCCCACAAAGCCAGCACATTAAGTAGGATGAAAACCCCCTGCCATTGTCCTTGGTGTCTCATCAGCCCTCATTGTTCGCCATGTTCAGAGAGTCCGATTTTATCCCATGCTTTTTCGGTCACAGTCCAGCTGGCCTTGGTGAGCTCCCCGTAGATCAGCTCCACTGTCTCAGTGGGTGGATGCATGCCTCGTGGTCCCGAATTCTTTGCTCATGTTCTCCCTCCTTCTGCTCCTCCTTGGGACCTTGGGAGCTCAGTCCAGTGCTCCTGTGTCGGTCTCTGTGTCTATCTCTATCCATCACCAGATGAAGATGCTATGAATTTTGCAAGATATTCGTCAGTATTGCTCTAGGATAGGGTCATTTCAGGTTCCCAATCCTCAGCTGCCCAAGGAACTAACTGGGAACCTCATCTTGGGCACTAGGGAGCCCCTCTAGGGTCAAGTCTCTTGCCCACCCTAAAGTGGCTCCCTTAACTAAGAATTGTGGTTCCGTGCTCCCCTATCCACCTTTCCTTTATCCCAATTCTCCTGTTTCCCAGGTCCCCCCTCCTTCCCTTCTACCTTTTCTCTCCCCATCTCCCCTTACCCCCATCCCACCCCCCCCCCGAAAGATCCCATTTACTCCCCGGAAATTTGGTCTACTTCCCTTAGCCAAGAGGACAACTATATGTTTTTCCTTGGGTTCACCTTCTTCCTTAGCTTCTTTAGGTTCACCTATTGTAGACTCCGTGGTCCTTATTTATGGCTAGAAACCAATGATGAGTGAGTACATCCCATATTCATCTTTTTGGGTCTGGGACACCTCACTCAGGATAGTGTTTTCTATTTCCATCCATTTGCATGCAAAATTCGAGAAGTCATTGTTTTTTACCGCAGCGTAGTACTCTAGCGTGCATATATTCCATACTTTCTTCATCCATTCTTCCATTGAAGGGCATCTAGGTTGTTTCCAGGTTCTGGCTATTACAAATAATACTGCTATGAACATAGTTGAACAAATGCTTTTGTCATATGATAGAGCATCTCTTGGGTATATCCCCAAGAGTGGTATTGCTGGGTCCAGGGGTAAATTGATCCCGAATTTCCTGAGAAACCGAAACACTGACTTCCACAGTGGTTGCACAAGATTGCATTCCCAACAGCAATGGATGAGGATACCCGTTCTTCCACAGCCTCTCCAGCAAAGGTTATCCTTGGTGTTTTTGACTTTAGCCATTCTGACAGGTGTAAGATGATATCTCAAAGTTGTTTTGATTTGCATTTCCCTGATTGCTAAGGAAGTTGAGCACGACCTTAAAGTGTCTTTTGGCCATTTGAACTTCTTCTGTTGAGAATTCTCTGTTCAGTTCAGTGCCCCATTTTTTAATTGGGTTAATTAGCATTTTAAAGTCTAGTTTCTTGAGTTCTCTATATATTTTGGAGATCAGACCTTTGTCTGTTGCGGGGTTGGTGAAGATCTTCTCCCAGTCAGTAGGTTGCCTTTGTGTCTTAGTGACCATGTCCGTTGCTTTACAGAAGCTTCTCAGTTTTAGTAGGTCCCATTTATTCAATGTTGCCCTTAATGTCTATGCTGCTAGGGTTATACCTAGGAAGCGATCGCCTGTGCCCATCTGTTGTAGGGTACCTCCCAATTTCTCTTCTATCAGGTTCAGTGTGTTCGGACTGATATTGAGGTCTTTGATCCATTTGGACTTGAGTTTTGTGCATGGTGATAGATGTGGGTCTATTTTCATTCTTTTACAGGTTGACATCCAGTTGTGTCAGCACCATTTGTTGAAGATGCTTTCTTTCTTCCATTGTATACTTTTAGCTCCTTTATCGAAAATGAGGTGTTCATAGGTTTGTGGGTTAAAGTCTGGGTCTTCTATACGATTCCATTGGTCGACTTTCGTTCATAGCAGCATTATTTGTAATAGCCAGAACCTGGAAACAACCTAGATGTCCTTCAATGGAATAATGGATGAAGAAAGTGTGGAATATATACACATTAGAGTACTACTCAGCGGTAAAAAACAATGACTTCTCAAATTTTGCATGCAAATGGATGGAAATAGAAAATAGTATCCTGAGTGAGGTAACCCAGACCCAAAAAGATGAACAAGGGATATACTCACTCATAATTGGGTTCTAGCCATTAATAAAGAACCTTCATCTGGCGATGGATGGAGATAGAGACAGAGACCCACACTGGAGCACTGGACTGAGCTCCCAAAGTCCCAATGAGGAACAGAAGGAGGAGAACATGAGTAAGGAAGTCATCACCACAAGGGGTGCACCCACCCACGGAGACAGTGGGGCTGATGATCTATTGGAGCTCAGCAAGGCTAGCTGGACTGTGACTGAAAAAGCATGGGATAAAACCGGACTCTCTGAATATGGCGGACAATGAGGGCTGCTGAGAAACCAAGGACAATGGCACTGGGTTTTTTTTTTTTTTGGTTTTTCGAGACAGTGTTTCTCTGTGGTTTTGGAGCCTGTCCTGGAACTAGCTCTTGCAGACCAGGCTGGTCTCGAACTCACAGAGATCCGCCTGCCTCTGCCTCCTGAGTGCTGGGATTAAAGGCGTGCGCCACCACCGCCCGGCGGCACTGGGTTTTGATCCTACTTCATGTCCTGGCTTTGTTGGAGCCTAGCCAGTTTAGATGTTCTCCTTCCTAGACCAGGATGGAGGGGGGAGGACTTTGGACTTTCCACAGGGCAGGGAACCCTGACTGCTCTTCAGACTGGAGAGGGAGGGGGACAGGAGTGGGGGGGAGGGGGAGAGGAGTGAGGGGAGGGGAAGAGGAGTGGGGGGAGGGGGGAGGAGTGGGAGGCTAGGAGGAGGTGGAAAATTTTTTTCTCAATAAAAAAAAATAAAACTAAAAAAAAAATAAAAACTATTACCAAACCCTCAGCAGTACCACACCCTAATTAAACTAACCAGTCCTAGACACTAAGGCCAATTTTTGACAACCCCCAATGAATGTTAATCAAGAAAACCTGCATCCATGAGCCAGAAGAAAACATAACAGTTTACAGATCCATGAATTCAATAGCCTGTGAACATCAAACTGCCTATTTGCAATCTTTAGTTCATCATCATCATTAACAAGAAAGGATAGTGTGCCTACTAACTGCAGTGTCCCATATCCTCTTTCTTGGTTCACACTGGATAAGATGCAAAAGGTTTATTTTTGTTTTAATCAACTCCTGGAACTCCATTAGTCTAATAGATGAGGCTTCTTAAAAAAACAAACCTGATAGCCATGTTTACAAGTAACAAAAAGAAAAGGAAAATAAAGTAGGATGTCTAGGCCCATAATGAATTACCTTAGGCTGGTAGTGAGCAATGCTCATTCGATTAATTTCCTTTCCAAGAGGAAGAACAGCTCATAAAAATATACACAAGAGTAGACTGGTAAATAAGTAATGGGTATTTTTTTGCTTTACTGGTGACAAAGAAGAAGCAGAGTCAAAGGACAGCAATAAAGTAAAACAAGATGCTTACTTGTAGAGGTCAAGTTGAGGCTGTTCACATTCAATTGCTGCTCGGAGGTTATCAATGGATTCGGCTGTACACAGTTCAATGGTATCTCGTACTGCATAATGTGTCTATATGAAAGCACAAGATAATCAAATATAAAGTATTTCTTTTTTGTAACTTTATAGCCAACTTATTTCAGAAACAGCACATTTTAGAGTAAGAGGGTTAAGCAAAATATTACAAATGTTGATGGACATTCTATACCAAATGAATTACAGGACACTACTTTTAAAATACATTACAAATACACAGGTAACCTGCTCCAAAAGGATTTTAAAGGTAAAAGAAAAACAAAAACTTTCCTTGACACTGACATTGGAGAGTATTACATTTGTAGCATGCATATAATTAACTGAAATCCCCAAGAAGGTTTTAATATATTTTTTCTCTTTATATATAAAACCAAGATTTGAAAAAAATTAATAGTTCCATTACATAAACAGTTTATAAAGATTTTGAAACTGTTCAATATGGGTATATTTTATATAGTAACAGGAAGCTAATGTCTTATATTCAATGATTAAGATATTCTACATATATGTACTATACTCTTAATTCATCCAAAATGCAAGACAAGATCCAATGAACCTATTTATAAACTGTCAACAAGGGCTAATGCAGATTCAAGTATTACAGCACTTATGCACAAGGGAACGCTGTTAACATACTCTTTAGGAATATTAGAGAACTTCTTGCTTTACATTTAAAACTACTGCCTGACTTTAAAATTTTTGATTTATTGCTACTTAATGAATAAAAGAAAACCGAAAATTTTCTTCCTCTAAACAATATTCTCAATGTTAGAGAATCTTTACACAGATCTGTATCTTAATAATCCCTAAAATATAACTCAATTTTTGAACAGCAAAGACACCAGTAATTTAGTATCATTTGCTTGAACACAAAATCAGTAAATAGTAACAAGTAAAGCTTTTATTTCACATTCTGAGTTCTACTCCTTAATTCTACAGGGAAAAAAACAAATAGGAGACCTCCCCAAACATATACCAAGAGGTGAGCTCATTAGTATTACTACTTTTTTTCTTTTAAACAGGATCTCTCCATACAGAATCCCCTATGTAGATCAGGCTGGCCTCAAGCTCACAGAGATTTATCTTTTTCTGTCTCTCAAGTACTGAGAGTAAAGGCTACGCCAAACCAGAATTACTCCTTTGCAACGAGCTATTGAGGGCCATGACACAAATACAGCAGATGACAACTGATAATTCAGATGTCAACCCACCAGATGAATTATTCTCTGCTGGAGAGAACCCTGTTCAAGCAAGACTTATGGGACCACTGACTCTGGAAACTGGCTGTTTCTGTCTGTAAATTCACATGTGCAAAAACAGCTGGGGAATCTCCCCATTACTGTGCATTTTCTTGTAATTTGTTCATGTGATCTCATGATTACACTTCAATCTTATGGGCACATCTATCTGTGGATGATCAGGAAGATGACTTCCCATTAAGCTGTGTAATTTTGTTGAACATAAATATACTAAGATATGCTTCAGTACTAGATCTATTGTTCCACGAGGACTGTTAAGACACTTAGAAGCCTATTTTGTTTCTTTACTCAGACTAACATAAGAAAACAACAGTTTCTCCACAGTCTAAGACAAGCTACATATATTTAGCTGGTTTAAAACCTCTTGCTAAGTCTGGTTTATAAAAACCTACTCCCTGCACAAATCCTTCAGCAGCTTCTCTCACCAGGCACTATGTCCCCAGTCTCAGGTCACAGCATGTACACCAGGAAACTTGAAGCCGGAGTTGTTATGGTTACTCACTAACTTCAATGTAGTTTATATAACAGTTTTATTGAAAAAAGTTTGTTGTTGAATGTGTACATATAAGGCAGGTGAACAAAAAAGCTAGAGAGAATTGGACCGAGAGAATTAGAACTAGAGAATTGGAACTGGAGAGAACAAGAGCTGCAAATAAAAAGAGCATAACCCTCAGATTGTGTATGAGTCTTTTTTTTTTACTTCACATAGGAAATTTTCCTAAGTCCCTGCTGTTCTGAAGGCATTCTTTTCTGCAACTCTAGGTGCAATTCTGAGGGCTGGACTCCAAGGCTGCCATACTCCTTAAAGGCAGAACAGAAAGGATAAGTCTTTATGTCCCATGGAACACTGGATGGCAAAGGCCAAAAAGTACCAGCAAAGTAAATTATCTCCCATTATGATTGAATTGACTATAACATACTTAAAATTCCTACTGGTTAACAATAAAATACAACATTTGTTAAACTATATCCTAAGGTATGAATACATGTAACCAAATTACTCCATATTAGAATAGTTATCACATGAATTGATTTATTTAATTTTATGTGTATGGATGTTTTGGCTACACGTACATCTGTGTACCACTTATGTGCCTAGTGTCCAAGCAGGTCAGGGAGTTGGATCCCATGCAGCTGTAATCACAGCTGGTTGTGAGCTAGGAATTGAACCTAGGTCCACTAGAAGAGCAGTTTGTGCTCTTAACTATAGCACTATTTCTCCAGACGCAGAATAAACCTTTTAAACAAAAATATGCAACTCTTAAAAAATTAAAAATAGATGAACTATAAAGTTACAAAATACTTGAAGTTATTTTGTAGTTATGTAGTTTAGCTCACAAGTATTCTCACTCATAAAAGTCTAGGGTAGTAAAATAGCTCAGTAGTAGTTCTAGTGTGCAAGTATGAGCCAAGAATTCAGTCCTAAGTACAACAAAAACACAAACAAAAAGCATAAATCAAATGTTAATTGAATTGCATCAATAATTTTGATGGCTTTTGGTTAGGGCATAATCCCCCACCCTATCCCCCACAATGCAAACGTATTCTCCAAGGTGGGTGTTTACTTAGAAGCTCAAATATAATCACATAACTGCTGTCTTCAAATATAAAACTTACATAAATAGCAAAAGTGAGGTAAGGGATTTAAGAGTGTTAGGACACAGAACTATCTCATTAATCATTCTGAGAATAAAATGCTCAGGTCAGGTTTAATCTCCATTACCTTACAATTAGATTCACCATCAAGACTAGCTGTAGTGACATAACAAGTTCCATCTGTTGTGCAGGACGACAGAAGAATAAGATCACAGGGAAAGGTTTCATCTGCCTGTACTTCTACTACATCACCAACCTAAAACAGCAGAATACTTTAAATTCTTGACAAAACATTCAGTATACCTCACAATAAAGCTAAAACTATTAAAGTGATATCTACAGATGAGATTTTGAAATTATCAGCATTCTACATCACATGCAAAGAAATTAAAGACTATTATTGAATATTCAAAATCCTCTTTAAGGAAATAAAGACTTAGAATGCTTACAGAATATCTTAGCACTGTTGTATTATAAGTAATTCTGACATTCATGTGTTCTCTGATATTCCTGAAACTGATATGTAATAAGATAATTTCTATGGCCATTTCAAGAGCGAAGAAAGAAAATCTAGAGGTTTCAAGTTAGGTACTTCATGACCAGAGGCATCTACATTTTCCCTTTGAACCAGCATATTTTGTCTGCAGTCATGATTGTTGGATTCCTTCTTTAGTGTTCAGAAACCTCAGGTAATTGAGAAGAGGATCAGTTTTCCTCATAATTGGCAGATGCGAGTCTTAGATTAGCTTTCTAAGAATTTTCCATCAGAAGAACCAGTTAATTATAGCAATAACAATCTCTTATCAGCAAATATCCTGTACCCAAGAAGAAGAAAAACTTGAGAGATGGAATCTTGAACAATTCAATAATGCAGAGAATAAAACATAAAAAGTGAAGACTTGTAAACCTGAGTTCATGTCCCAACTTTGTCACTAAATAATACCACTTTGATAAATGGCTTAAATGATTCCAATAACTGCAGAAGACTGGTGTTTGAAATGATGAAACAAACAAAACATTAAATAATGTACGCATATTAACTATTTGATGGGTGTCAATACTGCTTATTAATTCAATGTGGCTACTTTATTCACAAATTGAGAATGCCAATATATATTTCTTGAGAAGGATATAAGAAAACCTTCAGATAACACTATCCAACAATTTTCATGGCACACTACTGAGAAAATGACCCTGTTTAAAAGAAAAAGTAAAAACAAAACTTAAAAAAACCTCAAAATCCACAAGACTATTACCACCAATCATAAATACACTACGAACAATCTACAAAACAAAAATTTTAAGTTCATCAGAGGGCTAAATATACAGGAGAGGTAAAAAGAGGCAACTGATGATGACAGAAGGCAAAGTCACAGTTAAGAGAAGTCAAAGCCCATCATGTTGACCTGGGTACACTGACTGAGAATGCTCAACTAATACAGGAAATCCCTCTATTCTTAGAGATTAAGATGAGGATTTTAGGTCTATTTGAACTGAAAAATATATTTTCTTAATTAATATAAATTAGTATCCAAGAGCACCAGAATTGGCAATTATAATCAAATTAATTTTTAAATATTATTTTTAGATGTTTTCTTCTGCAGTTACATAAATGCTCAGGTTATAATATAACAATTGCCATACTTAAATATACAGAAAAAATACCATAATGGGCCAGGCCATACAGGCTAAGGAATTTAGGCTTCACCCTGAAGCTAAAGGAGAAGACAACTTTAGGGAAAGAGAATGACTTTATCACCTCATAGTTCTGTTTCTATTTACTATTTAAAAACATTTAAATAAATGTGGATCAGTGTTTTGCCTACATATGCCTGGTGAATTCAGAGACCAGAAGACCTTCAAAGTAGAGTTAAATATAATTGTAAGAAGCTATGTGGTGCTAGGTACTGATTCCAGGCCCTCTGCAAGAGAAGCAATTGTTCTTAACCTCTGAGCCATCTCTCCAGTCCCTATATCATTTTTACAGGGAGCTGGTAAGATGGCTTAGCAGGTAAAGACATTTACTACCAAGTGTGATGACCTCAATTGAATCCCCAGAACCCACATGGCAGGAGAGAACTGACTCCTACACTTTTTCCTTTGATCTCCTACATGGACACTGCAACATGCATATATACCACATACACAGAAATAACATACATAAAATAATTAATAATAATAAAATGGATTTCCTGTTCTGTCTCCCTTCCAAAGGTCTTATCCTTTGCCTTGCATATTAAGTCCTCTGATAATATATATAATCCTATACAATAGATAGTTTGTTTTGCTTGCACTGAAGGCTATGTGAAGCATGTGTGCAGTGCCCACAAGTCACAGTACTGCATTAGATCCCTTGAGATTGGAGTTAGAGATGGTTGTGAGCCACCAGGTGAATGCTGGGGATCATACCAGGATCCTCTGGAAGAACCATCTCTCCAGCCCCAGATGATCTGTTTTATAATATTAAGGGAATGCATGAGGAAAAATGAATATTCCTTTACATTGTGTGAGTATTTGTCAATATGACTGGTTTAAAGAAGAAGCTAAATGGCCAGTAGTTAGGCAGAAGTTTCAGGGCAGAGAGAATGCTGGGGAGGAGAAGGGCAGAGTCTGAGGAGTCATGAAGAGATGCAGAAACAGCAGATGAACTTGTACTGAGAAAATGTACTGAGCTACATGGCAGAGCGTAGATAAGAAATATGGGTTAATTTAAGTTATAAGAGCTAATTAATAACAAAATGAGCTAACATATGAGCATTTAAAATTAGTAAGTACCTGTATGGATATTTGGGAACTGGCTGGTGGAACAGAAAAGTCTGCTTACATTCCTCTCCCCCATTCCCTCCAACTTCCTTCCCTCTGAGACCCCCACATTAAACTCATCTGTTTCCGTGCACAAAGGGGCAGGCCTCCCATGGGTATCAACAAAGCATGGCATATCAAGTTGATGTAGGAACAAGCTCTTCCCCTTGTATTAAGGCTTAGTAAGACAACCCAGTAAGAGGAAAAGGTTCCCAAAAGCCAGACAAAGTGTTAGGGATAAGCTACACTCCCACTGCTAGGAATCCCACAAGTAGATGAAACTATACAATTGTCACAGATATGTAGAGGGTCTAGGTTGTTTCCACGCAGACTCTAAAGCTGTCAGTCCAGTGTCTGTGAGCTCCTATGAACTCAGGTTAGTTGTCTCCCCTGGTTCCCTTGTAATGACATTGAGCCCACGCTCATATCTGGTTTGTACAATCCTTCCTCCCTCTCTTCATAAGATTCTCAGAGCTCAGCCCAGAGCTTGATTGTGGATCTCTGCTTCTACTATTTACCAAAACTCTTTGATGACAATTAGTGTAGCGTGAGGCATTTCAGGATCAGGAAACCCTCTCTTATAGGAAGCAAGAAGCTCATTTACATCTAAGACAAAGGCAGGGAAGAGGCAGAAGAAAGAAAATGGAAGCAAGCTACTGCATGAAATGAAATAGGAAGCCCATTTATACCAAAGGACCTGACTACCATGAGAGACGGAACTGTAAGACTAGGAAACTGCCATGATATGTGTGTGTGTGTGTGTGTGTGTGTGTGTGTGTGTGTGTGGTGCAGAGTGCTTGGCCAAAATTGAGATTGAGATTGGTACTGGAGAGCCAATAAATTATTCTGTTCCTATGTGGAGCTTCATACTGAGTAAGAAATAAGAAACAGTAGTATACTGCTTTGAGAGAAAAGCAAGAGGACAGAAAGAGGCATATACTGCTAGTCAGGCCATCTAGAATAAGGTAAAAGAAGATGATGGAAAAGTAACAGGAAAAACACTCTAGTACCCCAGGTCCAACACAAAACTCAGGATAACTGTAATCAATCTTTCAAAAGAATGTAAAGCACAGTAGTATATTAAAATAACAATAATTACAATAAAAGAAACAAAGGCAACCCAACTCCTGACAAGACTGACCCAAATACCAAACACTAAAGATCTGATGGAAGCAGAGACAGGCCCATTTCAAAAAAACATACACTATTAATATCCATATGAAAATATTACATCTTATGAAGTGAAAACTTATATCCACAGAAAAACCTATATTTGAATGTTTGTAGAAACTTTATTCACATTTGATAAAAATCGGAAGCAGTAAAATATCTACCTTCTCCAGAAGTAAAGTGGTAAATACAGAAAAATTATTATAACTCATCACTACAAAGAAATGAGCTATTAAGCCATGATAAAACATGGAGGCAACTTAAATGTATACTAAGTTAAAGAAGTTAATCTTTTTTAAAAATGGTCACATATGGTATGGTTTCTACAATATAATCCTCTGAAAAATGCAAAAACCTGTAGTAGTAATAGGACCACTGTCTGCAGAAATTAAGGGATAATGAAGAATAATGAGGCATAACATAGATTTTTAGAGACAGGGAAATTATCCTATATGATGTTACAATGTTAAATACATGTCATACATTTATCAAACCTCCTAGAATGGATAGCACTAAGCGTGAACACTACTGTAACTAAATTTTATGTGGTGAAGAAGGTTTACTGATGCTTACAATAGAAAAGGGTAGTGTGTGGCAGAACAAGGCTATATAGCTATACTTTGTTAGGTTTTGCTGTGAACACAAACCTGTTCTAAACAGCAAAGTTTACTATTTAAAAAAAAATCTATTGGCAATCAAAAAAAGTTTGATATGATAAAATCTAAATGTCATCTGGCAGGGATCTGATTTGGTAGAAGCAGCAAACTATGACTAATTTGAATAAAATATAAATACCACCTTGCTCTGTAAATATAAACAGTACACTCTCTGTGTAAAAACAGTTATGGAGTTCATTAAAACTGTCACAAGACTAGCACACTCAACCGAGGCATATACTCAAAAGAATTGAAAACTGATACTCAAACAAAAACTTGTCCTTGAATGTTCATAGCAGCAACATCTATAGCCACCCACAGAAGAAACATTAGCTAGTAAATAAAGAAAATGTGGTATACACATAGAATATGCTATCATCAAAAGAAATGAATTATAGATAAATGCTACAACACAAATGGATTTTAAAATATTCTGAAAGATGAAAAACACAAAGTTCATGTAATGGATTAAGAATTATTTCATTCATGTAAAATATTAAAGCCGCAAACTGACTGAGAAAGGTTAGTGCTGACAGGGCTTAGGTAGAAGAAATAATGTGTGATGAGTATGGAATTCCCTTTTCTGGGGTCTAAATAGTGACGGTGGTTACACTGTGAATGTAAACAAATAATACTGATTCCTTTACTTTCTTTTCTTCCCCAGCCTTTTTTTTTTTTGAGACACTGTTTCTCTGTGTAGACCTGGCTGTCCTGGAACTTGTTCTGTAGAGCAGATTGGCCTTGAACTCAAAGGTCTGCCTGCCTCTTGACTCCTGAGTGCTGGGATTAAAGGCATGCACCTCTATTGCCCTGATCTGTACACTTCCAAGTGTGCATTTTTATCACATAAGACTGATTCCAATTATTCTGAGTGCGGCCAGGGTAAATTCAGAGGGTAAAAGTGCTTGCTGTGTAAGCCTGATGCCCTGACTCTGAACCACAAATTCATATCAGAAGGGGGGAACCGACTCCAGAAACTTGTCCTCTGAACTCCACACATATTCCATGGCATATATCTATGTACACACATAAACATGCAAGCACATGTGCATGTGCGTACACATATGCGCCATTAAGAGTAGCTTTAAAAGGAATGATGTAGTAAAACAGTACCTTGATTTTTTCACTTTCTTTTCTCACTCGTTTTGCATTTTCAATAATGTAAACAGTGCTTTTGTTAACTTCATTATCAGCTCTGTGTCTAAGCCAATCTTCATATCCCTATAAAGATAATAAAAATTATATTTATAACTTTCTAATGTTAATTTCAACACAGAATGCCACAGACACAATGATGAACACATTATTAGAAAATTTGAAGCATACTTTAAACATACTTCTTAGGCATATATCTTTATTGTAGTATAAGGTTCCTTAATAAGATATATGTTAAAGGCAAAACAGGTATTAGAGTGTTAACATTCTTCATTGTGAAAATCTATTATTTGTTCCTGCAGTGCTCTAATGAATACCTATGTTTTCCTCAATATATGCCTGAAGAATTAAGGAACATTATAATTCTACTTTGCCAGGAAGACTTATTTGTTCATTTTATTTTGTGTGTGTTGGTATTTTTTCATATATACCTATGCACCATGAGTGTACAGTACCTGGGGAGTCAAGAACAGGGTATCAGATCCCCTAAAATTGGAGTTATAGATGGTCGTGTGTCACTATGTGGGTTCTGGGAATAGAACCTGATTCCTCTGTAAGAGAAGCCAGGGCTCTTAAGTACTGAGTCGTCTCTCTAGCATATCTTTCTACTTTTAATTTGAAAAGATAATTGTTCTGACATTTTATTTTATGATAAACCTAATCACTTAGAAATGTAATTCTCATGCAGAAAGTGGGAAAATTTGAAATTTGTTTTATGAGAGATTTTATGTATCGTGGAGATAATAATTAAAATTCTCCACTGACTTAATGATTAAAGAAAATAGAAACTGGTGTTTGCTTTTAGAATAAAAAAAATAATCAGAGCTTTAATGGTTCACTTTTCTCTGGGCTTTTCTTGTGGAATAGATTTAAACTAAAAGAGCTAAGGAATCAGGATGCTCATTTGAACATGACCACCTTCTTTTATATTCAATGTTTTTCCCCCTCATTGTAATATCTGTGCCTTTTCAACTACATCTGAAAAATAGTCTCTTGATAGCTTTTCCTCCCCTCTCCGTTTTTTCCTCTTCATTCCTATTCTATCCCTCTTTATGAAAACACTAGGTTATCATTTCATAGGGTACATTCTCTGATACTAATAAAGAAAGGAAGGATATAACATGAACTAGTAGTGGGAGTAGAATGAATCAGTAAAGCCCTCTGAAAACCGTAAATGCTATTCTTAGAACTAAAAATTTATGACAGTAAGGAAAATAATAACCTAGATAGCCAGAGGGAAAGAACATTCCAAGTCTTTATTTAGCAATGAAATACATGAAAAAACAATTTGTAAAATCCCTAGTAGGCAAGACAGACGATCAGATAACCCCAATAGGAAAGGTAACCTTGTTCCTTCAATCTATCAGTTACCTTAAGGTACTTTCAAAAAGCATATTGATAAGTACTATCTAAAAATGTTTGCAAATAAGCATAGTCTGCGGTCTGTTCCTATACAGTTAACCCACTCCTCACTTAAAGTTTGCGGTTAAAATTTTCCATTTCATTTGGACAGTTTTAAAGGTACTAACACATAAAATGTTCAAAATACTTCAAAGACAATCACATCATAATCTGTGGCAGCTTGCCAGTTTTGACAAGAAGGATAGAAGTCTCCCCTACCCATCACCCTCCTCAACAGTATTACTGATAATAAAGAAATTCAAGTATTTGTGTTCTTAAGTTCTAGGCTATAACCAACAACAACTAAAATTCATTGGAATGGGAAATTCCAAGACATATCTCATCAGAATAATGAACAGTAAAAATCCACTCTCCGCTTCCCTACTGAGTTGAACTGTCTACTTGTTCATTATGCTTATACCACATAAACATAGATATTGAGAAAGAAAAGAGTAAATAAATTAGAGAATTTACAAGAAAATTTACACCAGCTTGCATTAAAGAACAGGCATAGTTTAAGTAAGAAACTTACCTGCTTGATTGCTGTAACAGTTATAACAAAGAAAAGTGGAAGTCCACTGGTAACTGGGCTGGTTGGTGTGTCAACTGTGACCTAGGTAAAGAAATTAAATGGAAAATAAAATTAGCTATTAACTCATATGTAGCATTTACATGTTTCAAATATTTCAAACAAAATATATTCTATTAATGAGATGAATACTAATTTTAATTACAACAAAACAATATATACAAGTCAATTTAAGAAAATTCAGAACTAGTTTTCATCCAAGGTTAGATGATCTCTTTTATTGAAATATGCATACTGGTTTATCAGCTAATGGCTGAAAAGCATTCTGCCAGCGCCCTGTACTGCTACCATTCAGCTGCTAGAAATCTTGCTTTAAAAAGATAGAGAAGTGTTTGCCTTCACAGAGCTGAAAGCTTACAAGGAAAATAAGACATTAAAACCAATGTATAGATGCTGAGATCTATAAGGATAGCTATGAGTTAACTATCTCAAAGAAAGTTTTCAAGTACAATGAACAAAATATACAGGGTCTTCTAAAAGGAAAAGTGACACATGTACAACAAGTAAACAAAACAAAAATTAAAAAAATGCCCCCAAAAATGTCACATTGAAGAGTCCAGGGAAAGCTGTTGACTTGTGACTATTCATTCCACAGTAGGGGATCTTTGAAGATTTTACACAGGAAAAGGTAACACAAAAATTTATTCTCAATGCTTTGTGAAAAAGACTAGAAGAGAATAAGAGTGGAGGACACGAGACTACTTGGGAGGCTACTGCTGTAATCCAAGTGAAAGATGATGTCTTGGATCAGGGTAGAAGTAAGAGATGTGAAAAGAAACACTGAAGATATTCAGGAACAAAAAATGGCAGGACTGGTAAGTAATGAGCTATAACTATTGATTGCAGATATCTTGTAAGTGTTGGATTAACATGCCTGGGTGAATGTTGCTGTTATTCACAAAAATAAGAAACATGGAAGTAGAACTAGATTATCGGGGGGGTGGGTTTGTAGTTACAATCTGTCTTCAAATCTCACTATCATCCCCTGACAAAAAGAAATGTAGATGTTAAGACTTTTAGACCTTTAAACATGTATGACTTTACACAATCTCTTTTCTATTTGTGGAATGCTGGTTGTAGCATTCTCTGCCATGGAAACCTCTTCTAATCCTTCAAAGATCAGTTCAGATATCACATACTTTTGAAGCCCTTTCAATCTCTTGAGTTAAGTGAATATACAACTCCTTAAGGGTAGAAAAAACTCAGTATTTTGATCATCATATTTTGTTCGGGACTACTGTACAACAAACTGTAGGTAGTCAGCATATAGTTGCTTAACTTAATTAAATGCACTCTTTAATCAACTGAATGATTCTTGCCAATAGAATCCATGGTGTACTTTCTGCTTCTAAGACATCTGACCATGGATATGAGTGCCTTTCTAAAAATTTCATCATTCACTATGGCAGTTTACTCTTTCTATATTCTGTCCCAAACTGCTTTTAAACAGGAGGCCTAAACTAAATTATAATACCATTAGGCAAAGCCTCAGTGTATACAAACAAAAGCACTCAACATTAACTCACTGGCACTTTTCTGCTTCATTTAAAAAGATGAGGAGGGTGTTATCATTAAAGTAGTAAGTGAAGGAAAAACTCTAATAAACTATATACTTAAAGATGTAAGACATGATTTAAAATGATTAAAATCTAAAATACCGAACGGTAAAAGGAACACTGAAAAGCAGATAGATTTACTACTTTCAAACTTCAAGGAAGTAAGTGAGTAAGGCACATAGAAAGGTGTAATAAGGAAGAAAAGTAGTGTGTTCAAATAGACTAAAACTAGTGTTTAATCTGGAGCTACAGATGGTTCTGAGTCATCACATGGGTACAGGGATTGAATCTGGGTCCTCTGCAAGAGTAGCCAGTGCTCTTCATTGTTGAACTATTTCTCCAGCCTCAATATCTTTTTTGATACACCTATTCTGCTTTACCTTAAAATTATTCACTATGACGAGCTAAAGGCTAACTCATATCTCTAAAACAAAATAATAACAAAGATTCCTAGAATCAATGGGGGAAAGCCTAGGCATGGTGGCACATACCTATAATCCCAATATTTGGGAAGCTGAGATAGGACTGTATACTGGCTGATTTTATGTCAACTTGACGCAAGCTAGAGTCATCAGAGAGGAGAGAGCACCAATTGAGAAAATGCCTCCATAAGATCCAGCTATAAGGCATTTTCTTAATCAGTGATCAATAGGTAAGGGCCCAGACCATTGTGGGTGGTGCCATCCCTAGACTTGTGGTTCTGAGTTCTATAAGAAAGCAGGCTGAGTAAGACAGGGAACACAAGTCACTAATCAACCCTCATCCACGGCCTCTGCATCAGTTCCTGCCTCCAAGCTCCTGTCCTGCTTGAGTTCCTGTAGTGACATTCTTCAGTAATGAACAGTGATATGGAAGTTTAAGATGAATAAACTATTTCCTCTCCTACCACAAAAGCCTGGTGTTAAAAAGTAAAACTGTTAGTTTAAACTATTTAAAATTTTGATATATAAACAATCATTAAGATGTTATACAATATACATTTAAGATAAAGATACGAAATCCATGAAAAATTAAATCTCATTTCTAAGACAGCTTTAGAGACCTATACCATCACACAATTCTTGAAGTGCAATTACATTTCTACTTAAAAATAATAATCAAATGTTTTTAAGTCACAGGACAACTTAAGATTACAAATTGTTCGAAACAACCAAATTTATCCATGTTGTTTTCATGGAGTTCTTACCTGTACAAGGAAAATGATGAGAAAATAAAAATTTGCAATTCTTCTAAACTGTTCAAACAAATTCTTTGGGAGGAAATTCCAAAGTGTATACTATAAAATAAGTTGAACAAGAAGAATTATTAGAAAAGAAACTTGAAAAATCTTATTATAATATAAAGTAGTATTTAGTATATCTAACAATTGAAAACACACCCTTATGTTACACCGGAATATATTTAGAGGTATGGAATACTTTTTTTCCAGAAATGAAGTTTCACTGAAAATTTCATTGGCCAACTAAGTGCTACATTTTTAATTTCTCCAACCCAACATAAAACGGATTCTTTGCTATATGCTCTCATATTATATTACATGTATTCATTTGTCTTCTCTCTCTCTCTTGAGATTCTCTGAACTTTGAGAGCACCTAAGCCTTGTTTAAAGGAGATGTTAGAGGCCAACAAGATGGCTCAGGCAGTAAAAGGATTTGCCATGTAAGCCTGACAACTGGAATATGATGCCTGGGACCCACATAAAGATTTGGAAGGAGAGAGATCCTGCCACAAAATTATCATCTGACCTTCACGTGCACACCATAGCTCATTCACCCCCAACCCACAAAATAAATACATAGAATTGTTTAAAATAAATTTTAAAAACTATTAGCAGTAAATTTCCATATACTCTGTCATGTTCTGAGACTTTAGCTTTCCAGTCCTTTATCAATGGATATCATGATATGCAATTTATCAAAATAGAGTCTTTCCAAGTGTAAATTTAGCCTTTTACCTTCAAAGGTTTTTTGTTTTTTTTTTAAATTCTGGTTTCAAGTCTTCTATATTATGGTATGTATTACATCTCTTGATTTTTAAATGATCCAGTCATTAAGCTTAAGGCATTAATAAATTACATCTTGTGTATGCACTCAGATTGTGTGTGTACCTTTTCAATTATGAACACAGTATCAGCTGTCATGAAGATAGGCGGTACTAGTAGAGACAAAATTTTATCTCTGACAATGATCTAAATCCAGTGATTAGACCTAGCCAAAAGAATTAATATACTCATTCACTCATTCAAATAACTTTTATCTCTCCCAGGAATTGTTAGAATGAATAGTAGGGAAGACAACTGAACAACTTACTTCTATAGAAATTATTGCCTATTCAGTGAAAAACCTTATTGAAAACACAGACACATTTACAACTTATAGTAATTGTTAAAAATAAGTTCAGAGCTTTAAAGAAGAAATCATTACTCCAATTAGTGTCTTGACAAAGTAAAACTTTACTTTTGATGAGAAAAATGAGCTACTCATTAAAAAAAAATGGAAGAGCAGGCATAGGCACACCAGAATGGCAAATTCACTTGGTTTTTATTTTAATACAAGTGGTGACTGTGTTTTTCCCATTGGTTGGGGTTTGACCTCATATTTTGTAAATGGCTCATTTAAATGAAGTTTAATTAAATAAGTTGCAACTCAGCTAATAAAAGTTTTACCCTGTTAGGTTAGGAGATTAAAACATTTGCAAAAAGATTTTACACCATGAGAGAAGATAAATTTACTGGAACTCTTTGATGGTAAACAAATTTTTTACAGTGTTTTCAGAAAAGCTAGTATTTAATGTTTTTTATAGTAATGAATACTTTCTACCTCAACTTCCCAAATATTGGGATTATAGGTATGCGCCACAGTGTTTAGGCTTTTCCCTATTGATTCTAGGAAACTTTGTTATTCATTTGTTTTAGAGATATGAGTTAGCCTTTGGCTCATCCAAAATTTCATCAGCAGTTCAACAGTGAATAATAATTTTAAGGGAAAGCAGAATAGGTGTGTCAAGAAAAAAATTATTGTGCCTGGAGAGATAATTTAGCAGTTAAGAGCACTGGCTACTCTTGCAGAGGACTCAGGTTCAATTGATTTTAAACAATTTTATGTATTTATTTTGTGGGTTGGGGGTGAATGAGCTATGGTGTGCACGTGAAGGTCAGATGATAATTTTGTGGCAGGATCTCTCTCCTTCCAAATCTTTATGTGGGTCCCAGGCATCATATTCCAGTTGTCAGGCTTACATGGCAAGTCCTTTTATTGCCTGAGCCATCTGGTTGGCCTCTAACATCTCCTTTAAACAAGGCTTAGGTGCTCTCAAAGTTCAGAGAATCTCAAGAGAAAGAAGACAAATGGAGGCAAGCAGTTACAGTAGAACTGGGCTGGCCAGACAGTGTTGCGCACGCCTTTGATCCTAGCACTAGGGAGGTAGATGCAGTCGGATCTCTGTGAGTTTGAGGACATCCTGGTCTACAGAGTGAGTTTCAGGACAGGCACCAAAGCTACACAGAGAAACCCTGTCTCAGAAAAAAAAATATATCAACTTTACACAAGCTTGAGTCACCTGACAAGAGGGAACTGCAAGTGAGAAAATGCCCCCATAAGAACGACCTTTAAGCAAGCCTAAGGGTAGTGCCCTCCCAGGGCAGCTGGTACTAGGGGGTATAAGAAAGCAAACTGAGCAAGCCAGGAAGGACAAGCCAGTAAGCAGCAATCCTTCAAGGTCTTCAATTTTTACCTCCAGGTTCATGCCTTGAGTTTCTGTCCTAACTTCCCTTCATGATAATAAACTATAAAGTAAAGTAAATAAATCCTATTCCACCCCCCACCCCAGCAAAGTTGCAACAGTCATGGTGTTTTATCACAATGATAGAAACTAAGATAACAATCAACAGTCAACAGGGAGAATAAATCTGAGGTCAAAAGAGTACCTTAGAGAGGACCAGGGAAGTAGTACATGGCTTAGTGGTTAAGAGCACCTGTTCTTACATATGAACAGGATTCATTTCCCAGCACCCACATAATGGCTCATCACCATCTTATATTTCCCTCTGACCATCAGAAGGCACCAAACATGCATGTAGTACACACACACACACACACACACACACACACACACACACACAATTACATGCATACACACAGGCAAAACATTCATAAAATAAAATCTTTTTTTAAAAAAGTAAGTGAAGAAATGCCAGGGACACCTTTAAGCCTAGCACTGACGGACAGATACAGCCGGATTACTTTGGGTTTTCAGGTCTGCTTGTGCTACATAATGAGACTCTGCCACAAACCAATCAACCAACCATAAAATTAAGTGCTATCTCTGAAACACTTTACCTTAGCTAATGGGAGCTCACCATCTCCAGCTGGACAGGTAAGGAACAAGCATAGGACCAAACTAGATCCTCTGAATGTGGGTGACAGTTGCATGGCTGGGGCAGACTGAGGGGCCACTGGTAGTGGCACCAGGATTTGTCCCTACTGCATGTACTGGCTATTTGGGAACCGATTCTCTTTGGATGGATACCTTGCTCGGCCTAGATATAGTAGGGAGGGTCTTGGACTTTCTCCAAAGCAATGTGTCTTACCCTCTTTGAGGAGTGAATTGGGGGAGGGTGAGATGGGGGGGAGGTAGAGGGGATGGAAGGTGAGAAGGGAGAACTGGGATTGGTACGTAAAATGAAAAGAATAGCTTGCTTTCTTTTTTTAAAAAAAATAATAAAATGTGAAAAAATTAAGTGCTGTCTGAAATGTCTATTATTTGAAAGAATTCACATTTTTCATGATATTCTCAAATTTGCTTATGATAAAAAAATAAGCGTTTAAAACCACTGGTAGAGTTGCTTTGAAACCATTATAATCCAAAACCAGCATTTAACTGCCATATCGATTTCAAGTAAATAAATAAATAAATAAATAAAAGCTGAACTCTAATAAACTGCTAATAGGTGAACCAGGACACTAACCTTCTGTTCTCAAACTAAACATAAAAAAAAACCAGATAAGCATTAAGACCACTTAAATGTCCTTATTGGGGAAATATTAACAGATCAAAGGGAACTTTTTTTGATCTAGTCCTGTTAGGCTACTGCTGTTGTTTTGCAATGCTAAGGACTCAAATCAGGGCTTTACATAGCCACACCACTGAAGTACATGTATTCTTTGCCCCACTACTGTTGTTTTACTTAGCCAGACTAACTTTTTTCTTAAGAACTTTGGCTGGTCCTTTCATTGGAAATTATTGCTCTTCTCTCCTTCATCAGGGCATGAACTAAGACCTCAGGGTGTTGTAACTTATTTTACTATAAGCTCTAGGCATGATGCCTGGCAAGAAACACATGATGTTTGTTTCAGGCAGGGTCTCATACTACATACAGCCCCATGCTAACCTCAAAGTCAGGGCAATCCTCCTGCTTTGGCCTATCAAGTCCTAGGACTACACTTGTCAGGCCACCACTGAGACTTTTAAATCAAGAAATGATGAGTAAAATTTGTGCACTGACCATTTAAATCACTGATTGAATTAAAAGGCAAACTAGGATACAATTATTTATTCTATACATTAAAACCAATACTTTAACACAGATTAAGAGAATTCTTTTAAAAGTGCTTTCTAATTAGAATAAAAGTGGAACTGTAGATATATACATGAAGTTATTAAAATTTAATTGTTTATCTTAAAACTGGACTCTCAGACTTGGTCTGTGATTACAAACCAAAAACAATGCCAATCACAGGAAGAAAATGCAAATATGAGTTATTTTAAATACAGTGATGAAAACAGATTTTTCTATCCTAAGTTCTTGCCTAGATGATTGAGTGAATGAATCCTTACACTAATTTTAGAAATAATTTACTTATATTTTATGTATATAGGTATTTTTTGCCTGTATATGTGTGTGTGTGTGTGGTGCCTATTGAGGCCAGAAGAGACATTTGAGACCCCTGGAACTGGAGTTACAGAAAGTTGGTAGCCTCCATGTTGGTGTTAGGAAGAGCAAGTGCTCTTAACTGTTGAGCTATCTCTCCAATCCCCCACTAGAATATTTTAGCAAGGAATGATAAAGTTAAAAGTCAGACTAAATATTTAAGAACATGTTCAACTGTTGCTACACAGAAATACCAGCACTGCAAATTTTGTTTTGTTTTGGCTGTCCTGAAACTCGTTCTGTAGGCTAGGCAGGCCTCAAACTCACAGAGATCTCCCTGCCTCTGCCTCCTGAGTGCTGGAATTAAAGGCATGCACTACCACAAGTGGGCTAAAATATCTCGCAGGTATACCCAGCCACTTAGGTGTTAGCTTGTTTTTAATTTTTTTACATTTATTTAGGTATTATTTTGTGTATATGGGTGTTTTGTCTGCATGTATGTATACCAGAAGAGGGAATTAGAACCCATGGGACTAGTCAAATGTAACTACAGTGAGAGACAGCTGTGAGCTGCTATTTGGGTGGTGGTGGGAATTGAACTCAGGACCTCTTGAAGAAGAGCCAGTGTTCTTAACTGTTGAGCCATCTCCTTAGACCTGCAAGTAGTTTCTATAGAGTATTTTTCACTTATTTTGTAGTTGGTATATACATATGGGTTCTAAAACTGATACTATATGATAAAGTTATGTTACTGCCTCAAGTATCTATTATCTAAAAGAATTTAAAACCAATTTTTCCATCAAATAAATCTCCAAATGTTGAAATGAAAATGAACTAATAGATTAAAGGCTTTGAGCTTTACTTGATTGGGTCTGGAGTATGGGGTATGTATAGCTCAGTGACAAAGTGATTATCCAACATGAATGTAGTTTTATGCTTGATTCCAAGCACCAGAGATGAGAGGAGAAAAAAGCTGTTTTTACATGAAGTTCACCAAGTTTTTTACTTAGTACTAAGAATTCTAAGGATAAAGCTCTAAGTAATGTGTTCTAATGTTTCTATATAGGAACAGCAAAGTGGAAACCAAGTTAGATGGGGCAGTACATGTCTGTAATCTTAACACTTAGGAAGGTAAGGTAGGAGGATTGCCAGGAGTTCAAGGACAGCCTGGACTACATACAAAAGCCAATTTTGGCAAAATAACAAAACTTTGTCAAAAGCAAACAAACAACCAAAAGGAACAGGGACATGGGTAAAAATGAAATAGTAACTATTTAAAAATTAACCAATAAAGTTATCAGCAAGCTGAACTACACAAAGAACATAACCTTCTCTAACTACTAGATACATATGGATGCAATAGAATAAAAAAGCAAGACTAATTTTATAGTAAGTTCTATATTGGTAACTGTTCACTTTGCTACATTACTATACTCAAGTTATTATCAATTTTCCTTTATGTTGGCATTAAATGGAATTTTGAGCTTTGCAATCTACCTTGATTCTTACTAACAATGCCACACAGAAATTTTACTTATCACACTGAAAATTCGGAACCTCTCAAAAGCAATAAAGTTGCTGACTAAAACTAAATCAGAAATTAGTAAAATTTACAGGTTATTTTCAGTGTGTCAGACACAACTGAAAGAAAGAAGTCCTCTCAGTTTTAATAAATTGCACTATTGATGAATCTGGTTTATTTGTTGTATGTGTATGCAAGAGAACACACATGTGTGCCACAGTGTGCATGTGGAGGTCAGGGGACTACTGATGGGAGTCAGTGTAGGTCCCAAAGACTGAATCCCAGGTCATCAGGTTTGGTAGTAGATGCCTTACAGGTACACTGAGCCATTTTACAGGTCTCAATTCAATTTTTTTCTTCTTTTTTTCTCAATTCAGTTTTTTAAATAAGGGAAAAACGATAATATAAATTTAGACCTAAAACTCTGATTTGAGTCAAGTTTAGCTTTCTAAATCAACTATGAATAACTCACTGATTATTTCACTGATGGTACTCTAAAGCTCAGAAATTGTAAAAGAAAAAAAAAACAAACAACAACCAAAAAATCAAAAACAAAGTAAAAAAAAAGCCCTAAAGAACAATAACAGTGCAATTAATGTTCTTTTTCTTAAGGAAGGGAATTTCCAATTTTGCATCAGCTACAAAATTCTGGTGATAACCAAAACTTTCCACAGAGTACTTTAAATTAGTAACACCTCAAGGGACATTTCTTTTTAAGAAAATATTTGTGTTCCCAGAAAAAAAGTAGACACTGATTTTATAAGTAAATAAAATTTAAAGGTCAAAGTGTTTTCTTCAGTGCTCCCTGTATTAACATTTATTTCCTAATACATTGGCTCTACAGGGGGTTAGTTGTAATGAAAAAAAGCACCAAAAACAAGTGTTAATTTTATGACAAAGTAGAGAAAAGAAAGTAACACTTGCTGCAGAGTTGGAAGACAGCTAGCATAGTTTATAGACTGTATTTATTCAATTCAAAGAGTATGGTACAAATATATGGAACCAAAAGGTAATGTGAGGAAGATAAATTCCAATTATAAAATTGTTAAGTTTCTCCAGAGTAGATCCAAAGGCCCTCTACCAAAAAGGACTCTCTCTATACATTCAAATCACAAGAGTCCAAAAACATCAACAGTAATGTACTGGAATAATCCCATGAACACAAATAATATAAGAAGACATAACATTTACTAGGTGTTAACACTTCCAAACATAGGGGTAAATGTTTTCTGTGTATCATTTCTTTTCATCCTCACTACAATCTCATGAAATGAACAATTCAATAGGCCTATTTTATGGATAAGAGAATTAAGGTCCAAGTTAAACGATTTTAACTTCCTATCCAAGTCTAAGAGGGGAATATTTTGAGAGAATTATTTTCTCTGCGCCTCATTTTTTCCTACCCTAAATTGGAGATTAAAAATCTACACTTTATCCAGGTGTATTGATACACTCCTTTAAGCCCAGCACTTGGGAAGCAGAGGCAGGCAGATCTCAGTGAGTGTGAGGCCAGTCTAGGTCTACAGGCATACATAATGAGTTCCAGGATAGCAAGGGCTACACAGTGAGACCCTGTCACAGACACAAGTAGCCCCTGACTGAGAATAAAATGTCTGTGACAGGATTTAAGAGTAAAAGAAAATCAACATTTTATCTGATATATCACAGTGTTCTACATGGCTACTCAGTTTTCACATTTATGTTTTACATGTTAATCTTTTCTTTTTCTGTAGAGATCAGGTCTCATACAATACAATCCTGCTGTCCTGGAACTCGCAGACATCTGTCTGCTTCTGCCTATATTTTACATATTAATCTTTTAACAAAAACAATTTTCATTATGCCATTACCTAAAGGAGAAACCAAAGGAATATTTGAATACCAAAATGTGGTGTATTATTAAAGGAAGGGTATGATTTTGGGTTTCAGGTCCTAATTGACTTCAAGTGTACACTGAACTAAATTTCACTAATGTTTTAGCTCTCCCTTTCCAAGCTTCATTTGGAAGCAAGAACATTATCAAAATATGTTCCATGCTACAAGAGATGATAGTAAACCAGTCATCTACTACCTAACATCTTGTCTGGTCTGCCAGCAATAAAGACCAGTAAATTAATATTAGCAGAGCAATGACTACTGGGTACTAAGAGTTTAAGAAGTGTTTTTACATAAGAAGTATTAGCCATTTCATAAATTATATTTTAATTTGACAAAGATGATATAGCTAGTGAATATTTTATCAAGATTTAAATGCAGGTGTTCAAACATGTAGGCCACTGCTCTTAGCTTATACCACACTGAAATAAGATCATTAGCCCAAAAGTGATGGCTATTGTGATTAAATTTTACAGGTCATAGGTCAAGGAGTATGCGGGCCTTTTTTAGGAGCTAGAAATATAAGTCAGAAGTTAGGAAACAGAAGATATGCAAATGAAAGTCACTAAGAACCATCCTAAAGAACGGAAATCATGTACAGACTAATCTTTTCAAAGGCAATTCAGAAAGCTTTACATAAGTAAAGCCCCCACAAATCTGCAAAATGTCAGTTGGCAAATGTTTGATCACTGAAAAATATCCCTTCTAAGCACAATAATAATTACTTGTAGCACATTTTAAGGCCTAACATAATATGCACAATCAACAGGAACAGTGAATCATAAAGGAGGGCGAGTAAAAGTTATAACCAGACAAAATGATAGGCGTTTTAAAAACTAAACTATTTTTTGAGGAATAATTACTACAGTTGGTATTATGATTTGTAGAAGTATATGACTATGTGTATAAACAAATGTAAAAGAACCAGCTTCCTTAGAAGCATAAATAAAAATATGCAACTTTATATGAGCATCTGGAGAGTTTAAAAAAGAAACACAACTTACCTTAGAGGAGACTATTCTATTATCACAAAATCTTTGTGCACTGTAAGCTTCTGTTCCTGAAATGGGATGATTGCCAACAAATACTGTGCGTGTACCAACTCGTTTCTCTTCTCCAGCGCACTAACCAAGAGAAAGAAGGAGAAGGTCAGCTTTTCACCATATTTCTCTGTTTTCACCATGCTTAGAACTCTGGAGAATCAGAGTAGCAGGGGAAGGTGAAAACCTTGTCAAGAAATTAAAATCCACAAATCTCTTATAATATGGGATTCCCCTCTGTATGCTGTGAATATTATTGGTTAATAAAGGAACTGATTTGGGCCTATAGCAGAGCTATAGGGGAACAGAGCTGGGCGGGAAAAGCTAAACTAAATGCTGGGAGAAAGGAGGCAGAGTCAGGGAGAAACCATAGAGCCGCTGTCAGAGACAGACATGCTAAAATTTTAGCTGGTCCACAGCCACGTGGTGATACACAGATTAATAGAAATGGTTCAATTAATATGTAAGACATAGAAAATAAGAAGCTAGAGCTAATGGGCCAAAGAGTGATTTAATTAATACAGTTTCTGGTGCCAACGTGGCCAACTAAATCCGCTTAAAAACCTGGGCTTTGCTTGCTGGCAGCATGCTGCGGCTCCCTTAAGAGAGGTTTTTCTGATTGCCCCCCAAAAAGGTTTAAAGATATCTTGAACCCATTTGAATAGTTGAGTAAGTAATTGCAATTCTTTGGTTCTCCTAAAATACATGGTAAATTTAATCAATCTACTGTCAATTTATGCTAGTGAAATTCGAGAGGGCATACTAAAGAAACCTGTATTGTTAGTGGCAGCCATATTATTCCACCCATAGTACAAATGAAGCTCAACTATTATGTTTACAACAACATGCTAACTTAGAAAAAATTAGAATGGGAATATTTTATTTATTATACAACTTCTGAGGACCTTTTGTCAACAAACATATCAGAGAAGAGAAACTACAATGCAAATTATTTCTAAACATGTCAGAAATCCTATTAATAGAAAAATCACCTTTCTACAAAAAAAAAAACAAACCCGTATGAATCTTTGCCTTTATAAGAAAACTTCCTTGTGACCTCCCAAATTCTATTATCCTAAAGTCTCGCTAAAGACAATATATTTCTAGTGCTTTTTAAAATATCTTTTAAAAATAGACTCACTGTATTGAAAAGACTCAGAGTAATGCTCTAGTATATGTAAAACTTTCTGGGACTTCACAGTTCTCTATTTTAAAAAATGTAAAATGTTTATTTTATATGTATGGATGTTTTATCTGCATGTATGTCTGTTGCACTGTGCCCAAGGAGGCCAGAATAGGATACTTGATACTTTGTAACTGGAACTATGGATGGTTGTGAACTGTCATTTGGATGCTGGGAACCAAACTTGGGTCTTCTGGAAGAACAGCAGTGCTCTCTACCAATTTACCATCTCTTCAATCTTCTATTCTCTTTGTTTGAAATAGAATACATTTTTTATATATTCAAAATAGTCTTTGATAGTACTATATTTGAAACAGTTTCTAACTATACTGGTAAAAAACTATTATCTTAGATCCTTATTCTTATTTTTAAAAATAATTTGTCAATTACAATATTTTAAAATAATAACAACAAAGAGTTTTTGTTGAGTTATTCAAATGTCAAAGATATCAATCTTTAAAATAATGTTAAAAGACTACTTAGAAATTTTGAAGTTTTCCAAATATTTACTGTATTTGTATATATTAGTGCCTGCATTCGTGTCTTCTGAAGATATTATTTGTAAAATTTGCCTTAATAAGTAATAATCACCCTGAGTATAAAGCATCTCTGTTTTGCTATTTTTAAATTAAGCTTATGAAACAAATAAGGCACTACCTTCAAATTTGTACAAAGTCAACCAAAAATAACTGGAAAATACTAACAGAGAAACTCAGATGTGTTTATCTCAGTAGTAGAGTGTTTGCCTATTACATATAAGTCCCTGGGTTTATACCACCATAAAAATAAACACATTTTTAAAAAGTAAGTAGAGGTTAACTGTGAGGAGCAGAGGAAGCCCGATTGACTGTGTGTTATTTACATGAAAATGCATGTCGATAACCCCAATGCCTCAGACCAATGAGACTGGCAAGCTTTCCCTGACTCAGGCTCAGGGAAATTACAAAGGCTTCCCCAGTTCATGTGTGGATACTGATAGTATGTGCAGAAAACGTCTACTGCAGCTTCCTCCTCCCGGATGTTTGCAGCTTAAGACCGCTTCCCTGTGGTGACCTGCTCTCTACTAGATAAGCTAAACCCGCTTCCTCATTCAGCTGTATACAACAAACCCACCTCCTCAATTCAGATTTATAAAATAAATAAGGTGGGTTTCCTGTTGTCTGTTGTTGGTGTGTCTCCACCAGATTCCATTCTACCCAATCCCAGATTTTTTTGTATGTGTGTCTGTTGTTTCTCAATTTCCTGCCCTGTTGCCCCAGATTGTGCACATGGTACACTGATATACATGCAGACAGTATACCCATACAAAGGAAATAAAAATTAAAGCAGAGAGGGATGAGGACTAGGAAAAGAATAGAGGGTCAGTAGAGCAGTATGCTTCTTAAACTGCTAATATGGCTTCTCCCCTCTACAGTGGATACTAATTAGCTTAAGATGATATTTTAAGATGAAAATGAACTAGTACTTTCTCAATTTTAAATTGTCTTCAACTTCTTTGGTCCTCCGAAGTAAAAAATATAATTTGTACGCACATCTTTTTAGGAATCCTCTACAACTGAATGATACTAACAATTTTACTAAGAGGTTTACCCACACATTTATTTCTCGGATCTCTTTAAAATAATGCTTAAGTGATATCTATCTCCATAAATTCAAGAAAAAGGATTGAAACTATGTGCAAGTAGGTGTATATTAATGTCTAGCTCCTAAAGGTGGTTGTTAGATGGCAATAAAAAGCTGTATAATATCCACTTTCCAAATTTATCAAAATAGGTCTTTTTCTCTAGGGAAGGTTTAGATTTGAAGTTTCCTGAGGACTGGAGATGCAGTGATATGAAGCAGGTGTCTTTTCTGTGCCTGTTTACCCTAATTCTAATAAAACTGTAATCTCTCTTTGCATTTCCTGCAACTGTGCAATGTAGTTTAGCTCACATACAATGACAACTCTGAATTTGTATAAATTTACTGTACTACTTGTTGCCATGTAGTGTTAAAACTTCAGTGTTGCTTACCATGATTTTGAATAAAATAGATACTTTTGCCAGAACAAAGAAATCCAAAAAGGAAACAATAAAAAACAATCAACTTTGGAAGGCAGACAATGTAATCTTGGTCTAGGAGTATGTAATTCCTGTCACCAATACAGTCTTTACTTTCATTAGGAGTTCATTCTGTGCTGGACTAAGTCCCATCCAAATGTCTTTAGAAATATTATTGTTTAAAGCTGAAATAGACTAGCACCAACTCTATCTTAATGACACATCATTAATACATATTTACATACTTGATAATTACATATTTTTTATTGGTCAGCCTTGTCTCTGAGTTCCTATAAGTAAAAGTGAACAAAATTACTAATTAAAACTTGAAAAGAGCTGGAGAGATGGTTCAGCAGTTAAAAGCAGAGGCTGATCTTCCAGAGCATCTAAGGTTCGATTCCAGTACCCACAGGGCAGCTTCCAGGAAATCTGATGTCCTTTTTTGACTTCCCCAGGCACCAGGCATGTACTTGATGCACAGACATACATACAGGCAAGCAAAACACCCATATAGAATAAATATATATAAATTAGGCTAAAAAATTTGAAGACACAGAAATGATTTAAACTATTCACACTCCAACCCAAAGCTATTTTCTTCTTTAAAGCATTAGTACTTTTTTTTAACTGCACAGTAAGTCTGAAAATGGACAAATTACCTCAAAGTTGAAAAAAAATGCTCAAAAGTTAAAACGCCTATTTAAAAGCCTCCCAAAGTCAGATTACTATCCCAAGATTTGAGGGGAGCAGTACAGGGAGAAGAACAGTAGGCTGCCAGGGAGTGACTGCAGTGTATTAAGCTTCTTGGTTGAAATTACTATAATGTATTCAGTGGTCAATTAATTAAGGTTTCCATGCTTGCTCCATTGCAACAAACAAAGGTGAATAATCCTGACATTAACTTAAAGTCACAATGTAAAAATGAATCTTAAGAACGTACATTTCCTATTTTGCTTTTATTGCAACTTCTAAAGTGACCAAGCTGTTTTTTCCTCTTTTACCAGAGGAAGCAAAGCAAACTTTTAGATAGAACATTTTGTTTGGCTTTGACTTTAGAGCTTAATTATGTGGTCTTGTTTATTGAAATTTGTAAATATCTTATCAAAAACACAAGCACATGAAATTGTTATGCATATATAAACTTGGGTATTACCAACTGGCAGCATATAAACTGTAAAAAATTGCTATAAAGAATATATTTTAGCTCTACACAAACACATCAAAATCTGCAAGCACAACACCTAAAAAAATAAATAAAAGAGCGGGAGGGTATATATAGGAACAACACCTTGTTGGAAGTTTTCGTTGGACATTCATGATATAAATGTGTTCTACTGAACAGTTAAAGTTCACCAGGAACAACCAATCCTAAGCATTCCCACACCATGAACACCATGCTCTCAACCCAACCCACAACTACAGAAATGTAAATGAAATTCAGCTTTCCTAAAAGATACTTAAGGGAGTATATGGATCAAAATGCTGTAAGCATTTGTGGTTCACAATTTTAACAGGAATTTTAAAAATGATTCAGAGGTTGATTTAAAAAATGTAGCCTGCATCTCCCAAACTTACTAATGGTACACAGCAACCTACCTTTATAGTATCTTTCATATCTTGTCTATAGCCTGACAAAACTCATACATAAACAAGTCTTTACAAAGTGACAAAATATCTTTTGTTCTTGCTACCGTATCTGTACACCACTTTTCATTCCAAACACTTAACAAACCTTAAAACTCTAAATACGAAGGTAGTTAAATTCTAAAATTAGAGAAAGAGAAGCTGGCAACTCAACTAAACACTGATGAATACCATCAGAAAATGGATAAAAATACGCATACAAAGAGAAAGCAAGAAGA